TGGGGGCATAGAGGGGAGGAGGAGATGAAGGCGGGGAAACTGCAATCAGGATATAAAATAAATGAAAAGTTTTAAGTTTCGCTATGAACCAGCATCCAGTGTGGAAAGCCATGTGAGATGGATGAAGTAGAATATTTATGTGCTTGTTTATAAAACAGGTGAGGTTTTCATTTTTGAGAGGACATGGTTCCTCTTACCAGTTTCTTTTTTTATTTGGGGCACTGGAGAGTCTAGACGGCTAAGGTATTCTGACCTTTCATTGGATTTGCAGTTAAATCCTTTAGAAGGCAGTTTTCTCATTGGCAATTTTATTTTAATTTTGTTGTAATGCATATGAGATGTAGAGTATTTCTGCTTTGTGACACGTAAGGTCAACAGGCCACTGGCAGAGTAAGAGTGTGGTGACATACCCCTTTGATCCCAGCACTCTGTAGGCAGATCTCCTTGGGTCCCAAGCCAGTCTGATATAGAGAGTGAGTTCTGGGTAAGATGGGACTACACAGGAAGTCCTGTGGCTTGTGACTTAACCCCCGAATCCCAGGGCTGTTTAGGACCAGGAAGAAGCACAGCAGATCCATGTTGGTGGGAGTTAAGGCTGAAGAGACACTTTCCTTCCCTATCCACCTCTCCATCCTTTCCTGTCTTATTTCCCAGGGACTACCTCAGCTCAGAACTTTTGTGCAGTTTTTCCCTGTTTTGCCCCATCTGTGACAGCCCAAGGGTCAGTCAACACAGGTACCTCCTTATTGGTTGGGTTTGGTGTTGGAGATTCCTGTGCAGGCCTCACACACACTAAGCACTGGCTCTGTAAAAGGCTTCTATGCTAACACTGAAGCCCCGGCATCAGCAGCACCTGTGCTTGGGCCCTGCTGGAAGCAAATGTGGCTGTGAGGTGGTCTTCCCCAGCCCAGCCTCAGGTTCATTCCAAGCACCTCCGTCAAGCCATTGTCCTGGTGCTGAGCTTTCTCAGACTCATTTTGTACCAATTGGACTTGGATACATCTTGAGCCCAGCCACTGTACAGGCCTTTGCAGATTGGCCCTTCAAGAAGGGTGTCTCCTTTTTTTTCTGACAGGAGTTAGATAAAGGATTTGGCTGCTTTCTTGTGTCTTTGCCCCCCCCACACACACTTCCCCTTTGTTTTTTCAAGACAGGGTTGTCCTGGAACTCTCTCTGTATACCAGGCTGGCCTTGAGCTCCCAGAGATCGCCTGCCTCTGCCTCCCACCAGGCTGTGTGTTTGTCTTTATAGGCAGAGTTCTCTCTACCTGAATGACTCCCACCCTCTGCAGTTCTGCCTCTGCCTTTTTAAGTGGAACAATTTTCATGACTAGGCTCAGGAAATGTTATCCAGAGGTGTTGGACAGACCTGGGTCCAGTTTCAGCTCTGCTATTTTCCATGGGGCTTGGTGCCACATGATCTCTTTGAGCCTTAATCTCTATACGTGAAACACCAACAAGGTCTCCAAGACTGTAGAAAGGGTTAGAATTCATGAGTGACAAGTTTCTTCAATGTAGTAGGTTCGTGGACATTTTTGAGCCAATCTGCCGTGAAATGTTTTTGTAAGTCCTTACAGTATGTGTGTTTGACATGAAGTCTTCATCAAATGATGGTGGGCCAGACTGAGCTTGAAGACACAGGAGAAACATTTGTGTCTTCAGACAGGTTGGTGTTTAGTCAGGTGCTCTCCCCAGTCACTACGTGTCCCCATATTTTAACTGTAGGGTTTGATCCTGAGCCAGTAGAAGAGAAAATGGAATACAGTCTCCATGTCTAATCTCTTGATTCTGTGGCCTGTTTTTGTAGTGAGCTATTTTATTTTTAAAACCAGAATAGAGTGTGTTTACTCTGAAAGTTGGGTCCTGGTGATTGGCTAATGGTTTCAACATGAATATGAAGGGAAAGCAGATAGGCATTCAGAGTGAGACCCAGCTAAGGTGTGTGCATGGCGTGTGAGGGCACAGTGTTTCTGGAGTGGCTAATAGAAGAGCAGCATCCCTTGTGCACCAGAATGTGCAGATGGTATCTGCACGTATCTCCATGCACTGTGACATGACATGTACATGGCGCATAGTCCTTTTGTACCAGGATGTGTTGGCAGTGGAGCATGCACCATGTACCATGTTTAAGATCTCCACTAAGGCCGGGTGTTGGTGGCACATGCCCTTAATCCCAGCACTCGGCACTCGGGAGGCAGAGGCAGGTGGATCTCTGAGTTTGAGGCCAGCCTGGTCTACAGAGCAAGTTCCAGGACAGCCTCCAAACTCCAGAACAATACAGAGAAACCCTGTCTCAAGAAACAAAAGATCTCCACTAAAGCTATAGACAGGTGGTGTACTTGTTAAGTGTAAACTGTCACTTTGTTGTGGTAGATTGAATTTCCTTACCAGTTTTCAAAATACTACCAACACTAGAGTGCCTGTCCCACTCTCAGTGTGGTATTCTCCAGCTTGTCTGTGCTGTATCATTGGAAGCAGATCCCAGACGCCATGGTACTCCGCATAAATTTTCTAAACTGCATTTCAGGTGGGGTTTGTTGTTTTTGTGGTTCTGTCAATCCAGTCCAGGGCTTTGCATGTGCTAGGCAAGTGCCCCACCACTGACCTACATTCCTAGAGTTTTGTTTTTTACAGGTGGCTAGGTGGAAGAGCACACTGGGCATTGAACCTAGGACCTTGCACATGTAGCAAACACTCCAATCACTAGATTATATGCCCATCTGGTAGGTTGTAAGAGTGTTAGTCGTATTAAGAAATAAAGGAAGTAGGCATAATGGTGAGTGCCTGCCGTCTAAGAACTTGGAACAGGAGGGTCACAAGTTCAGAGCCTGCCTGGGCTTCTGAGTTCAAGGACAGTTAGGAAAATTTAGTGAGACTTTCAAAATAAAAAACACAAAATGCCAGAACTATTTGAGTGGCAACATGCTTGCCTAGGAGGCCTGAGGCCCTGGGTTCAATCCCCAGTGCCACAAAGGAAAAAGCCCTGAAATGTCTTAGTCAGGAGAGGTCGGTGTAAACCTGTAATCCCTGCACTGCAGAGGCTGAAGCGGAAGGATCACGCCTCAAGGTCCCCTTGGACTACATAGCAAATTTGAGGTCATCCTGGGCTACATAGTAAGATCCTGTCTCAGACAAACCCAAAACATACAAGATATGGAAGATCCTGTTTTGTGTGAGTACATGCCACATCATATGCGTTGCAGCATACTCAGGTTGTTGGCCTTGATGGCAAGAGCTCTTACCTGTTGAACAATCTCTAGTCTTCAGCTGAGGAAAGTGAAGACCAACTCAGCAGTATTGACACTTCAGGGATGTTAAAGCAACTTAGGAAAGATGATGGAATCAGATGACCTTGTGCCAGGTAGTGACTTACTCTCTGAGGGCAGCCTTTTAAGGTTCTTGTGATAATAAAAAGACATTAGGTCCAAGAATGGGTGTGTGTAGCAAGATGGCCTACTAGCAAGCAGGTAAAAGCATTTATTGCCCCATAAGCCTGATGACCTAAGCTCAACCCTCAGGTAAAAAGCCTGGCTCCTAAAGTTGTCCTCTGACCTTCTCATGCGTGCGGTGGCACACCCCCATCCCCACACACAGACCCATAATAAATTTAAAGGTTTTTAAAGGAAGAATGGAAAATGGTTTTGAAGTAGGTTGGTTTGTTGGTTGGTACCACTCCTGGTAATGGCAAGCTGTCACTGGTGTCTTCAGCTTGTATATATGTCTCTAGTCCCTGTGTTTTCCTGTGGCCGTCATGTAACCTTGTCCCTATTAATAGAGAGCAGTCTCTGACCCACTCCTCATCTTGACCCTGACTAACCATCTGCAGTGACCCTCTTCCTGGAGTCACTTCTCAGTTTTAGAGTTGGGAATTAAGACTCCTGGGCACAGTTCAACTATGACGTGTCTGAGTTGTGCCTTTATATAGTGCACAGAGCATTTTTAAGGAGCAAATCACCCTCTGTGTCCTTAGGAAATGATGAAATGTGTACATAAAGATGTAAAGGCAATGTGCATGATGGTCTTATTGGTACTCGTAGAATCTCAGGAAGAAAATAACCAAAGAGTGCTAAATATGGTGTAGCCATTTGATGGATTACCAGGCAGCTAAAAAACTGGTCTTTGGTGAAGGCTAAATATATGGCTCAGTTAGAATTCTCACCTAACATGCATAAAGCCCCAGGTTCCAATTCCAGTGTTACCAAAAAACCAGGTGTGGTGCCAGCTTGTAATCTTGACACGCAGCATTCAGGCAGGAGGACCAGAAGGTTAAGGTCATCCTTCGACGTGTGTCAGGTGGAGGTCAGCATGTCTTAAGCAAAAAATGTCTTTGGAAATTTACATGAGAATGCCTATAATTGAAACAGGACATAGATACAATATGATCACACTTTATTAAAATGGTATAGTTTTAGAATATACTTAGGAAAAGGTGGGGCAGAACTTAGCAAAAAACATTAACAGCAGTTGTGAGATTTAAGATAATTGTCTTCTCATTTTTTTAAAAAAATTTTTCTGAACTGATGAATTTAAACTAGAAAGTTCTTTGAAATTGTAGAATATTTCATTCGTGGGACAGTAACTGTTTACAAGTGTTGAAGCAGAAGCAGTTGGGAAGAATGGATAGTCGAGTTTTATAAACATGTTTAGAGCATGCTTAATTCATGTAATGACTATTTGTCAAAGTACAAATTACAAAAATGCATGTGGCTTTTTGGTAGGTGAGTGAGAGGGCTGTGGACATTTTCTGCAGGACTATTAACTTGATGCCTGAAACAAGTTTAGTTTCCAAGTGACTTGGAAATATCAGAGTGAGCTGTAATTAGCACTACAGAACCCTGGTAGCATCCTGGGGTTTTCCTCTGTCAGCTCTATGGGACAAATATTTAATAATTGGTTTGAAAAAATGCCCAGTTACACAATCTTGTTTTCACTTTGATTTGAAATGAAATGATTATGAAATGAAAGCCAATTTGATATTTTAGTTTTTAAATCTCTTTCTAGGTTAAAAATTTTGCAGTTATTTATCTTGTGGATATTACAGAAGTACCCGACTTCAACAAGATGTATGAGCTGTACGACCCATGTACTGTCATGTTTTTCTTCAGGTATGTTTCCTAGAGCTGTTACTTAATGGAAGTGTGATCAGACAGATTCTTTTGTTTAGAAGGAAGTCAGTTATGCAAGTTTTACCACAAGGCACTCAATGTGAATCTTTTAAATGATTTCAAAGTAGCAATTCCAGGTTTAACATTGACTCAGTAACAAATTACACGTTTGAAATACTGTGCAGAAACTGGTGTGAAGTGTAATTAAATGGAAGACATTCTTTTTTTTTTTTTTTAAAGATTTTATTTTTTATGAATGAAACATTCTGATTCCATGTATATCTGCACACCAGAAGAAGGCACCAGATCTCATAATGGATGGTTGTGAGCCACCATGTGGTTGCTGGGAATTGAGCTCAGGACCTCTGGAAGAGCAGCCTGTGCTCTTAACCTCTGAGCCATCTCTCCAGCCCAAATGGGAGACATTCTTACTGGCATTTTAAAATCTACTGTTGAATAAACCTTTTAAAATGTAGCTCCACTTGTTAAATATTATTACTATTTGGTGTCGTTTTTTTTAAATTTATTTATTAGTTCTAGTTAGGGAACAAGCTTGTTTCACATGTAAGTCCCTTCTCCCTCTCCCTCCCCTCACCCCCATCCCTCCCTTCCCCATGTTATTTGGTGTCTTTTGATAAAATTCAAGAAAACCTGAACTTAACTACTTTGCTTATACAAGTCAACATTGTTTCATCATCTCAAACTCTGCTGGAGATTTGGAAAGAGATCTCCATTTGACATTGGCACTGCTCAGCAAAAGTTTCTCCTGTAATTACTAAAGCAGTTGGTATATAGTCAAAAGTAGTGTCCAAATTGATAAGCAGTTTGTGTGTTTGTTTCATCTTACACAGAGATTCAGCAGTGTAAACTGGCTCTCATGTATGAACTTACAGTTCTGGAGATGAGCAGGACCAACTGATTCCCTGCCAGGGCCTCACAGGCAGGACGTGTAGGCTGTGGAATTGTCTGTAGTCTCTTCCGGTGTCTAAGGCATCTTGCTGCTGTTGGTGGGAGCCACTCTGCTCTTAAAGGCTCCTCGCCCATAATAAGGCAGCATCCATTGTCTGTCACAGTGAGTCCTGTTTATACAGTCCTGACTTCCAACTCTGCCACTTAGAAGGAGGGTTATACTCACCCATATAATGCAGGACAATCCCTTTTTAAAGCCAACTTCAGAGGAGCTTGATTCCTGCCTGGAGTGTCCTGTGTAGTGTCACATTCAGGAGTCACAGGCAGAAGAGCACCTGTAGTCACAGTGTCACAGGGAAGTACCATAGGATTTTACCCATTACTCCTTGAGATTACCATTCTTCCTATAAGCAAAGCAGGACATAGTTAGCATAGTTGAGTCTTTAGGGCAGATGGTATACTCAGAAAAGAAGACAAACTTCCTCTTCCCTCTGCAACCCAAAATTCTATAACAAGTGTCAAGAGCAGGTTTTACTCTTAGGTCGGGGACAGAGAGTAGGAGAAGCTACACTCCTCTCTCTGTAGAGACAAAGAGACACGTGATGAAGAAGGCTGTCTAAATCACACACCTGCTAGGTGTGTAAAAGACAAGTCATGTTCAGTGTGCTTGTCCAGCAGGTCTGCTGTGGGTGTGGGCTGTAGGCAATGTGGTGTCCACCCCATCCCTGGGCTAACTGAGGACATGGAATGCCATCCTAAGAGCAAACGCTTGACATACAGAAATTATGTCAGACCAACCTCTTCATTGCTCTCAGAACCAGTGGGGCATGATCATGGACTATATAGTTGAAGCCAAATGTGATCCTGTAGATGTGAATAAAACTAGACCTTCGCAAACTTGAAAAATTCATGGAGGTACAACAGGAGTTAACATCTTTATTCAGAAAGTGCAAATACAGGTTCCTGAGGGAGTGGGGGGGACCTCTCCTCTGAAAGACAACTGACTAAAGGATTAATTTGCTTCCCAGTCACGGCAGGCAAGGTCATGCAAGTCACCATTCTCAACTCACAGTTACAAGACTTTTGGTAAATCTGTACCAAGTTCCTGTAAGCAAAACATGAAAAAGTTACTCATTGCTTTTTCAGGAAAATTAGTGCCAACTATGGAAAACTACTTGTCTTTCTAAGTGATACAACTGTCTTTTTTTTGGGGGGGGGGGTGTTTCGAGACTGGGTTTCTCTGTGTAGCTTGGGAGCCTATCCTGGCACTCACTCTGGAGACCAGGCTGGCCTCAAACTCAGAGATTTGCCTGCCTCTGCCTCCCGAGTGCTGGGATTAAAGGCGTGTAGCACCAACGCCCACTACAACTGTCTTTTGTAGGCCTTTATAGTCTTAGGAATGTACAATTGTAAGACACAGGTGCATGCCTTCAATCCAGCACTTGGGAGGCAGAGGCAGGCAAATCTCTGAGTTTGAGGCCAGCCTGGTCTGTATTGTGAGTTCCAGGACAGTAAGAGCTATGTAGAGAAACTCTGCCTTTAAAAAAAAATCAAGCCGGGCGTTGGTGGCGCATGCCTTTAATCCCAGCACTTGGGAGGCAGAGGTAGGCAGATCTCTGTGAGTTCGAGACCAGCGTGGTCTACAAAGAGCTAGTTCCAGGACAGCCTCCAAAGCCACTGAGAAAACCTTGAAAAAGCAGAAAAAAAAAAATCTAAATTTAAAAGTGTGTGTGTGTGTGTGTGTGTGTGTGTGTGTGTGCGCACAGGAAAAGTGTATGATTGCTGCATTACATTTCTAGGGAATAGTATTTAGTGTTTGTTTTTATTTGATTTTGGACTGTGGTCTCTTTGACTACATTATAGTAGCTTAGAACAGCAGGAAGAATGGGCTTGCTTGTGGAATTCTCTTGTGAGCATTGCTGCTCTTTTCTCTTTCAGAAACAAACATATCATGATTGATTTGGGCACTGGCAACAACAACAAGATCAATTGGGCCATGGAAGACAAGCAAGAAATGGTTGACATCATAGAGACTGTGTACCGTGGTGCCCGAAAGGGCCGGGGTCTAGTGGTGTCTCCCAAGGACTACTCTACAAAGTACAGATACTAAGCACTGCTCTCACAGACTGTGCAAAGGACACTGGGAGCCTCTTCTGTGTAGAAACCCTCAGCTCTTCGTAGCCTTTGGGAAGGGCCTGCAGTGGAACATGGCCTTAGGGCAAGAGGATCCTTGAGATGAGAATAACAGGGCCATAACTCGCTGAAGGAAATAAACATGGTGAAGAACAGTAGAATCTGCTGTGTGTTTTACTGATTGTAAATGTCTTTACTCTTGAAGTGAAATCTAGGTGTTTGTCCCATTAGGCTGTCAAGTTCTGCATCCTCAAGTTGCTAGAGCTGTTAGAATAAACTGCCACAGATGGGTAGATTTGACAAAGATGTTTTGGCTTCGAGGTTCGAACCTGAGGTAACAGTGTTCTGGGGTTCCATTTGGGATTGTGGGCCTCTGTCCTAGCCCTTGGCTCTGGAGGTTACTGGAATTCTTTGCTGATCCTTGGGTTGAGGGTACTTTATCTTTGCCATTTTCTTTACAAGTTTTCTCATAGTGTTTTTGTTTTAATACCCCCTAGTTATAAGAACACCAGTACACATTGCCTAAGGGGCCCACCCCACTTCTGTACAACTTTATTTTGACCACTCCAAATAAAGTCATGATCTGAGATACTGGGTTTAAAATATCAATAAGATGAATTTTGGGGTGACATAGCGCATTACAGGATCTAGTCTTAATCTTACTTGGCGTATAAAATAGCACAGTGAGCCCGAATGCACTCCTACAGTCTAGCTTGGGACACAAAGTTGCCAAGTCCAAAGCTAGTCTCATCTCAACACACACACACACACACACACACACACACACACACACACACTGATTGTTTGCAGCCTTCCCTCAAGTAGTTTCCCACTCTTGCTCAGACTGTGTCTGTATCATGCTTCTATTGAGGTGGGGGTACTCAGACCACCCTGTGGAAGGCCCCTTATCTAGGTCAGTTTCCTCTCTTTCCTGGTGATTTGGAGGGACCTGGCTCTTCCCTGTCACCTCTCTGAAGACATCCTCAGAAGTGAAAGGTCAGCATACAAGGTGCTGACCTTATCAAGAAGCTCCTCATGGACTCGGGCAGGCCTCTCTGTACCTCTTCTCATCTGTCTCCATGGAACATAGTGGTTGGTGGCTGCTCACCGGGCACCTGGCAGATGGACCGTGCCTTCTGTTGTTAGTAAGTGGGTCCATTATTGTCAAAACTCAGGAGTGATGCAAATTTCTAACCTACAGTTACAAATAAATTCACTTGTCAAATGGATTGAAACATGGATTTGGGATGCAGCTCAGTGGGAGAGGTGGTATGCACAGTTCCTAGCACTGCAAAAAGTAAAATTCATGTGCAGATCTGCAATTTACCCATTTAAAAAAGTAGTGTAGCTGAGCATGGTGGCACATACTTGGGAGGCAGAAGCAGGCACATCTCTGGTTGTGAAGCCAGTTTGCTCATGTGGTTTATGTAGTAAGACCCTGTCAAGAAAAAAGAAGTCGCTTTCCTCATTGCCTAGGGATGGGTCCATGTGGAAGTGTTCTTGATTCCTGACATAAAGGGAAACTCTGTCTGGAGCCCTTGATTTCCTGCAGGTGGAGGAGAATATCCTCAAATTATTTGTGGCAGGAAATCAGGTAGTATACTTTGCTTTCCACACAGAAGAGCACATCTACAAAAGGGAAAGTGACGGTGTGTGTACATCATACATGTGAGAACCTGAGGAAAGCTGCTGCTGAGCTAGAGCCATGTCACCTTTAAAATCCCTGCAGGTGTCATCAATGTGGCCTGTCCTTTCACACCTGGAACCTTCCAGAAACCAGTTCTGGTGGTGACTGATACCAGGGCTGCCCACTAGCCCCTCCCTTCGCAGAGGCATTTCATGTCATCCTGCCTATCATGTCTCTATAACAACATGTTCCTGTACACTGTGTAGACTTTGCCATTCCATGCAGCAAAGGAGCTCACTCAATGGTCTACCATGGTCGCTTACACCCATGAGCACCAATGGGAGGACATGCCTGATGTCAACTGAGATCCCGAGGAGATGGAGAACGAAGAGCAAGCTGCTCCTGAGATGGCTGTGACCAAGGAGGAATTTCAGGATGAGTGGACTGTGTCAGTGCCTGAGTTCACTGCTGTTCAGCCAGAGGCAGCAGACTGGTCCAAAGGCATTCAGGTGTCCCTGTGCCTGAACCACCGAGGACTGCACTTTACCTCCCACTGTTCAGCCACTGAATGGAGTCAAACAACTACCAAGTGATCACTGAAAGGTCAGCAAAAAAAAAAAAAAAAAACAAAAACAAGCAACATAAAACTGTGCAGTCCTTTTCTTTGGGTGGGGGGAATCCTGCAGAGAGGGACCTCTGAGAAAGCTCACAGTGCTTGCAAGCTGGGGTGGTTACAGTTAAGAAAGGTGGGGGCCCATAAAGAGGGTAGGGAGTTCCTTTTTTTAGCCCACAGATGACCACTGCTAGGGATTAGTGCCATGGTTCTCAACCTTTCTAACGCGCTGTGATCCTTTAACACAATTCATGTTGTACTGACCCCAAACATGAAATTATTTTTGTTGTTACTTCATAACTGTAATTTTGCTACTGTTATGAATCATAAATATCTGTGTTTTCTGGTTGCCTTAGGCCACCCCTGGGAAGGGGTAGTTCAATCTCCAAAGGGATCAAAACACACAGGTTTGAGAACCACTGTATTAGCACATTGCTAAAAATATTAGGTGATCAATAAATAGCTTTCCCAGTTGGCCATTACTGAGGTCCTTGGGGCAGGGCAATCAAGAATCTAGAGAAACAAGAGAATTTACTTCTAGAAACTACATTACCACAATTAAATACTCTTCTCCAGGCACTTAAGCAAAGTAGAAAGTGGATGGAAAAATAGTTTCTAACTAAAAATAAATTATAAAGAAATAATGGTATAAAGTTGGGCACTGTGGCACATGTGTGTGGTCACAGCACTCGAGATGGAGGCAGGAGGAACTGGAGTTCAAGGCTAGTCTGAGCTAAAATACCATACTCTCAAAAAAGTTAAAAATAAGTAAAACTACATCTTAGTATTATAAAGAGCTAGTTAAAAAAATGTGACTTCAAACACCTAGCATATAACAGACATTGTGTATATTTCTGACAGTCTTTTCTAGAAGGGAAAATGACCAGAAAACATATAAAAATACTCAACATCACTGTACAGGAAGGAGATGGAATCAGCCACGGTTTGATTCCATTTCTCCTGCACTGGGATGCTTGACTCATAAGAACAGGCAATATCAAGTGTTGGTGAATATGGGGAGAGATTGTAGTCTTCATAAACTGCGGGAGGGACTATAATAGTATGTAGCCACTTTGGAAAACAGGCAGGAATGGCCTCAGTTCAGTATGACATTATATTATAGTCATGTCACTCCTAGGTATACTCCTACATGCACCCCGCCCCCCAAAAAGGACAAATGTCCACACAGAAACTTTGATCCACAGCTGCCCAAATGTGGAAGCCCAGGTGTCCAATATGCAGATAGGCAAGTCTGTTCAGACAGAAAGCGGGTAAGTGGTTGCATAGGAGGTGTGGTAGGAAGTGGGTACATAGCAAACTGCTGCGGGATTTCTTTGAGATTATGAACATGCTCTAGAATTATGTTGTCTGCACAATGCACTTAAGGTTGTTTACTGAATTAGGGTGAATTGTAGGAAGTTAGATTACGCTTTATTGATAATAGCTTTTCAGATGTATGAGGAAAAGGTGAGCAAACAGTTTGTATTCCACATTCCTTGTTCGTTATATACCTCTTGTTATTGGTCTACTTGGACAGTCCTACAGAATCAACAGTCTGGCTTAAAAAAAAGGAAGTGGATTTCGTACAAGGCCAAGGTTCAGAGACAGTTCGGCTGCAGGACACTGGCTTGCAGAAGACAGCCTTCTCACTGTGTCCTCATGGTCTGTCCTTAGTGTGCACGCAGAGAAAGAGCAAACTTGTCTCTTATGAGGCTATCAGACCTACTGGATCAGGGTGCTGCCCTAGTGACCTCATTTCCCTTAATTATTTCCTGAGAGGCTTTCTCTCCAAATGCAGCTGCGCTGGGGTCAGTGTCCAAACATACCAGCTGTGGGGATGATCCAGACCATCACAGCAGTTATGTTCAGTTGGCTCTCACTCGGTGACCATCTTCCTGGTGCTCCAGACTGCAGAATAGTTGACTTGATCTTGCATTCCTGCTTGGATCCGGCAGAAACCAGCTGATGGGTCTCTCAGCATCTGGAGACCTCCAAACATCCCAGGATGCCCTTTAGGCAATGTCCAGGAATTACTCAAGAAGAGTAAGCCTCAAAGTAAACCCAGGGGGCCCAGAAGGAGGAAAGAATCAAGTTTGCAGAGATACACAGCTTCACCAGTGTACACAAGGGAAGAGGCAGGCTCATTGCAGCACTATTGAGAAATGTACCAGGCACAGAGAAGAGAAACTAAACAGTTCAGTGACTTGCATAGCACTGAGTTGTTGGTCCAGAGTCCCAGGTACAGATTCCCTGCTGAGCCCAGTACAGTAAATAGCAAGGTGTAGAAGGGTGTAGACTGCCTGTGCAGTCTTGGAACATGCACGACATGACCTAACACATGAACACACTGTGTTCACACTGGTCCATTTGGCAACCCTAAGGATGGGCAGCTCCTGACTCCTCTGGAACCACAGAGAAGGCATGACAGGTACAGCACAGCACACAGAGCAGCCAAAAATTAAAGAATGGAGGTGTGATCCCACCTGTAGATTAAAAATTCAAGTGATTAAAAACATAAAAATTATAGTTTTGTGGTTGTTTTTGGAACAGGGTCTAACCCTGCAGCCCTGGCTGGCCTAGAATCACTAAGTAGACCTGGCTGCTCAGACTGACAGAGATCTGCCTGCCTCTGCTTTAATCCCCCACAAGCCATTTATTTTAAATTAAAGCCAAAGGCAGGGGGAAATAAGGTGGATGAACATGCAGAGGCTCATAGAAGGCAAAGGAGAACTCATTTCTTGAACACTAAGTAAATAATCTCGATCTACGGGGGTTTTGTTATTTTGCAGGTATTGGCTATAGAGCCAAGGGTGGCTTCATTCACGGTCTTCCTGCCTCAGCTTCCCTAGCGAAGGGATTGCTGGCATGTACAACCACCTCGCTTTCACGATTCTAACGATAAGGTAGCAGATCTGACTTCAAATATCCACTAAGACTGCTAAAATTACAATTATGGCTAAGATGCTTTGAAATTCAGCATAGTCAAACAGCACTACCAAGATTTCAAACCACCAAGACCATCAAACTTGAAGGTTCCAAAGAAAGGCACACCTTTTAGGATCAAAAGATGTCTACCATCAATGGGAACATTGGCTGCTCCTTCCTTTCTTAGCTGTGTTTGGCTGAATGCTGTGGATTTAGTCGAACTTGCAGAAATGTGCAAGGGTTTTGTGGGTAATTTCTCACAATGGCATTATTAATATCATGAAAAGGAACAATGACCTCAATGTCCAAGAGCTAGTAAACCTTTAGTTGCCTATTGCCATGTACTGGAATATTAGGCAGCCACTGTGGGACAATGTTATGAGAGGTAAAGGGAATAATAGCTATTATTATTGAACATATTAAACTCCATAGGACAAGTGTCATCAGTGGCCAATCGGGGTTATTTTAGGTTTATGTTATGTAGGAACATTGTTTTATAAGTGAGAGGCCAATAACTATTTTACAGTGATTTGAGTAACTATTTGAAAGCTCAATAGCCTACCAAATTATCTTGACCTTGTTCTAACCTTCAGTGATTTCTTGGTGGGGTGAGATTCTCCTCAAGGCATAGGGAAGGTCTCTCTGGAAGAAAAGCATCTGCCCCTAAGGTGAAGGATGAAGGACATAGTCTGGCTGCTATGGAACAGGGTTCTGAGGCCGAGAAGCCGGCTTTGCTAGTTCCTGTGTGTTGATTTGGCTGGGCTCTGGGGTCTTCATTTTGTAGAATAGTTGGTGCTGAGCTTCCTTAGGCTGGTTATGTTAAATTGAGTGACTAGCAGGAGGGAGCTAGAATAGTTATAAGTCAAAAGCAGACACATAATGGGGCTGTAGAGTGGCTTAAGAGCACTAACTGAGGGCTGCAGAGAAGGCTCGGAGGTTAAGAGCACTGACTGTTCTTCCAGGGGTCCTGAGTTCAATTCCCAGCAACTACATGGTGGCTCACAACCATCTGTGGTGAGATCTCATGCCCCCTCTTCTGGCCTGCAGGTATACATGGAGGTAGAACACTGTATACATAATAAATAGATTTTTTTTTAAAGAGCACTAATTGCTCTTCTTGAGGACCTGGGTTAGATTCCCAGCACCTTCACAACAGCCAGAAACTATCTTTAACTCAAGTTCCATGGGACCCAGCATTCTCTCCCAAACCCTGCACACATGTGGTGCACAGGCAGACATGCAAGCAAACAGAATAAAACATAACTCAAAAAAAATTTAAAAAGCATCATATTGATTAAGAAGAAAGTAAAAATAATAAAAGCAGCTACAAGAAAGAACAAGAAATTGGGTGAGTGGGAGAGGAGTGAGGGGAAGGACAGAAGAGAATAAAACATAGTGTAAGAAAAAATAACAATAAAAATTAAAAAGAGCCGGGCGGTGCTTTAATCCCAACACCCGGGAGGCAGAGGCAGGCAGATCTCTGTGAGTTCAAGGCCAGCCTGGTCTCCAGAGCGAGTGCCAGGATAGGCTCCAAAGCTACACAGAGAAACCCTGTCTCGGGAAAAAAAAATAGCTAAAAGCAGCTACCTCAGATGAGTTTTTTAAAAAAAACCAATGTACAATTTTAATTTGGAAAATATGTGAACTAATACAGTGTATAATTTACTTCCATGATTTACAAATATGTATTGAAAAATCTTTTGTCATTATTTACAAGTCTCATCTCTGGTAAATGGTTACCTTCTGAATTATGTTATTATTTCATTGCTTTTCTTGCTGTTTTTTTTTTTTTCCAAACAGGGTTTCTCTGTGTAGCTTTGGAGCCTATCCTAGCACTTGCTCTGGAGACCAGGCTGGCCTCGAACTCACAGAGATCCACCTGCCTCTGCCTCCCGAGTGCTGGGAATAAAGGCGTGTGCCACCAATGCCTGGCTTGTTGCTGTTTTTTGTTAAAAATAAATTTTGCTTTTTAATGGGTTAGCATATAGCTCATTGGTAGCCACTTACCTACTACATTTTGGGCCTTGGGTTTGATTTCAAGTCTCCAAAAAACAAAACTAAAAACTGAACATCAAAATTCATATTGCATAGATTATTCAAACAGTATAGATTTCATTTTAGCAATTTTTAAATTTTATTTATTTATTATATATACAACATTCTGCTTCCATGTATATCTGCACACCAGAAGAGGGCACCAGATCTCATAACAGATGGTTGTGAGCCACCATGTGGTTGCTGGGAATTGAACTCAGGACCTCTGGAAGAGCAGTCGGTGCTCTTAACCTCTGAGCCATCTCTCCAGCCCCATTTTAGCAATTTTACATGACTTTTTAAAAACATCTTCAGGTCTGAAAGAGAGTTTTCAGAGAGATTAGTTTATTTACATGGTTTATATTCTGATTAACTAATGCTCAGTTAAATAAGTTCAAGAGTGGTCTTCAATAAAATTCTGTAGTTACAAGTAATTGCTAAACATTTATATGTAGGCAAAATTCAGTAGAAAGAAATACTTAAATGATAGATATTCCTTTTCTTCAGCTAAGAGTCAGGGTGGATCCAGAACTTGGATGGAAGGAACAGCGCACACACTTTGCAGGCATTGGAGCAGCAGTGTGGAGCCTGTCACCATGACCAACCACCCACAACTCACTGTCCTCTATTGTATAGGGAACAGGGACTTTCTATGCAAAATTCTGCATTTACTGCATGCCGGGGAAGATTGTACAATTTAGAAGCACAGATAAAATCCCACCCCATCAACTGTAAGAGTTTTTAGCAAGGGTCTGGAGCTGTCTCCCCAATGGGAGAACAGTGTAGGGTTTGCAGAATTTCTGAAGCCCCATGTGGTGTGAAACCCCCAGCCAAGAGCAAGAACAAGTTGGTGCAAGTATTCTGATTACTTAGGCCTTTAATATGAAAAATTTTAAAGGCTTTTAAATAGCTGGCCTCTTGCCATGTTGCCTCTAGTGACTGTGTGCATCAAGGAAGCAGAATTTTGACAATTATGTCAACACTCAATTTGTCATCTGGGCCGACATCTAGTTGTTGTTTTTTAATCCATTGGATAAAGAAGCCAGAGCTTAGGGAGTCCACCCTGCAGGGTGACTTCCAGAGTAGCACCAGCCAGTGTACCTGGGAGACCAGGCCTGGCTGTTCCTGCTGCCACTCTATGCCCTGGTCTCAAAGATGGGAATTTGATGGTGGGAGTGTGCAGGGTTTGGAACCCACAGTGCCCAGAAGCACCTGGGCGAATGGGGTATGTCTGGTAGCACTTTTGTAGGTGAAGCAGTATGTCTTGCATCCAGTCAGAAATTTTATTTTTATTTTGCCATTTCGAGTTTGGAGGATGGGATCTTAGGTTCTTCATGTCTGTTTCTCCAGTGTTTTGAAGCCACTGATTGGGATATTCATGTGTCATTGATAGGTGGTGACCCAGCTCTGATTTAGCTGGATAAGTAGGGGTAATTTACCGTAAATTGATTGTGAGACAGAAGCAAACAAAGGTATCTAAATTGTTCAGTGTGTGCGTGCGTGCGTGCGAGCGAGCGTGCGTGCGTGCGTGTGTGTGTGTGTGTGTAGCAGTTGAAGGGGAGGGGTGGAGAAGAGGTGAGTGAGAAGAGAAGAAAAGTAGAATGTCATATGTGTATAACAATGCCATAATGGGGCCAGAGATACCGCTTGGGGTAAAATCACCTGCCACCAAGACTGATGACATGGTTAGATTCCTAGTAGCCTAGTAGAAGAGGAGGAGCTTCTACAACTTGTCTGTCCTCTGATCTCCATACACTTGTCATGGTGCACGTGTGTGTGTGTGTGTGTGTGTGTGTGTGTGTGGGTGGGTGTGGGTGTATTCACATACATGCATGTACACAAAAAAACGCATACACACATGCTAGAAGTAAAGAAGTAAATGAAAATGCCACAATGAAGCCCATTTTTATACTAATATAAAAAACACTCATTGAGGGGCTGGAGAGATGGCTCATTGGTTAAGAGCACTGGCTGCTCTTCCAGAGGTCCTGAGTTCAATTCCCAGCAACCACATGGTGGCTCACAACCACCTGTAATGAGATCTGGTGCCCTTTTCTGGCAAGCAGGTGTATGCAGGCAGAACACTGTATACATAATAAGTAAATAAATCTTTAAGAAAACACTCATTGAAAGCATGTATATACTTAGAACACCATGTCATAATATGCCTAAGTAGTTGATAAAATCATATATCTCCAGGTATGTCACATGGGTCCAAGACTTGAAACAGCATTTATTTGCTCCTCAAGAATGAAATTCCTGCCGGGTGTTGGTGACGCACGCCTTTAATCCCAGCACTCCCAGGGAGGCAGAGGCAGGCAGATCTCTGTGAGTTCGAGGCCAGCCTGGTCTCCAGAGAGAGTGCCAGGATAGGCTCCAAAGCTACACAGAGAAACCCTGTCTCGAACCCCCCCCCAAAAAAAAATGAAATTCCTTAGAAAGAGAACGCTTCCATGGCAGAGGCTGTGTTATCCTCCAAGGTGCTCATGGGATATGTTAAGACTCAGTGTTTATCTGTCTTCTTTTGTTGCTGTTGTTTTTGTTTTTTGAAATAGCATTTCTTTGTGTAACTCTGGCTGTCCTGGAACTAGCTCTGTAGACTAGGCTGGTCTTGAACTCACAGAGATCAGCCTGCCTCTGCTTCCTGAGAGCTAGAATTAAAGGCATGCACTACCATGCCTGGCTGCATCTGTTTTCTTTAAATGATCAAACAAATATGTCATCTCAGACAGGAGTAGCTAGCTATAATCTCAACTTTTTATTCATTATAATTTGTGTTGTGGCTAAAAACTGATTTAAGGAGTAAGGATGAAAAATACTTTAATAAGATCTGATTTTTAAATGAGAATTTTCACTTGGAATATGTACCTTCTAAGGAATGAGGAGCATGTTTTAGTTGCAAAAAAGCACATGGAAGTGCCTCTCGTTAGTACTGAAGATTTTACATGTAACACAGGGACAGTAATTCACATAGTGGTGAAAGAAGTCAAGATGCACAAAAGGCTATGTCTAAATCATGGCCTTACCATTTGTTCTTTGATCGGATTCTCTATTCCAGCTTGAACCATTAGGTCATCAACGTTTTTCTGTAAGTCCTTGATGCGATTTCCCATTTCCTCTAGTACAATGTTAAGGAGAATGGCATACGTGGGTATGAGTGAGTGTGTGTGTCTGTGTGTACAATGACACAGGTTTGAAGGTCAGGGACAACTTTCTGAAGCAGTTCTCTCTTTTCAGGGTGGATCGAATAGACAGAACTAGAGCGTGGCAGCAAGCTCTTACAGTTGACTCATTCAATTTGTTATTTAAGATTTATTTATTTTATGTGTATAAGTGCTTTGCCTGTATGTATGTATTTATGTTCACCACAGACATGCCCAGTGCCTGACGAGACCAGCAAGAGGTGTAAGATCCCCTGAAACTGAGTTACAGATAGTTGTGAGCCACTGTGTGGGTGCTGGGAACCAAACCCAGGGCCTCTGCAAGAGCAGCACATGCTCTAACTGCTGAGCCATCTCTCCAGCCCAAATAATATGATTTTTTAAGTGAATTTAATCACACTTGAAAAACAACTCCTTCCTTAGATTGGGCAAGTCTTAGGCAGATGTTAACCTGGATTTACACAGTTTACACAAACTGTAAACACTCTATTTTATTTTAAAATTTTATAAAATAACTATATTCTAGTGAACTCACAAATAAAACCATCACAGAACCAGTTTAAGCAAGTGCCTTAGACACTCGCCCAGTCCCAGCTGGCCATTCTAAATATGTAGAGTTCACTGACATGTGGAGTTGGGACTGACCATTCAATTCTAACTAATTTCATTCAACACTGACTTGCTTGTTCCAGTCAAATTGAAGGTTTGTCCCAGGAATGTTCTTCCTTGCTGGAGACCATCAACACACCCTGTGTTGCAGAGCCTATACTGCAGAGCCTGTGCTGCAGACCAGACTGGCTCAGTCAGGCTTGCAGGGCAACCCCTCAATCGGAGCTGAGCATTTGCTCCTGGCCATTCATGCCCTGCATTGCCAATCAACCAGGAAGCAAAGCCTGCCATGAGCGGATGATATTTAGTACACCCAGATGCCACACAGAAGCACAGATGTAAACACCGGGAATCATGTGTAAGCAATCATGCACTATTATTGGAGAACAAGACGCTACCCCGCTGCAGCGAGACAGCCCAACAGCTTTATAGTGTTTAGTACCACCAGGAAAGGATATCTCTGAGGTTTAATGTTGTAGTCAGAGCTCGGAAGTGTTCTTCAAGCTCCTGAAGTAGATTTTCTGCCTGAAAATGAAAAGGCATTTATAATTAGTGTAGGGCATTGTAAATATCAGAGTACCTAGACATGCATGCCCACTGATGTTTTGTTGTTGCTGTTGTTTCAGACATGGCCTCCCCATATAATCCTAGCTGGGATGGAATTCCATGCTTGGACCCAGCTGGCCTCCAACTTCAGTGAGCTCCTCCCCCCGCCTTTTTCTTTCTTTTTTTAATTCTTTTTTTTTTTTTTTTTTTGAGACAGTTTCTCTGTGGAACTCAGTTTGTAGATCAGGCTGGCCTCTAACTCACAGAGATCCACCTGCCTCTGCCTCCCAAATGCTGGGATAAGGGCGTGCGCCACCACTGCCTAGCTTCAGTGATCTTCTGACTCACGGTGTTGGGAATGTAAGTTACCCCCACAGCACAGAGCACTTGTTTGTGGTTTTTTTGAGGCACAGTCAGGCTGACCTGGAACTCAGATCCTCCTGCCTCACCTCTCCAACACTGGGATTATAGACCTGTGCCAGCACGACCACTATGATGGACACAATCTAAAGCATGAGAGTGGAGATTTAAGTCATCTCATTGTAGATGTTAGCACAGGAAACAGTCAGTCTAGGGTGACTCAAAGGCCAGTGTGTCCTTTGTTTGCACTTTGGCCATTTAACAGTGTATGGAACAATGCCTACAGAAATGCCACTGTGGTGAATGTCAGGCTTTTGGTTTGTTTGAAGCCTTATAGTCCACACATCCTGTGTGAGTCTCCCTTGTGTGTGATCCTTGTCCCAACACCCTTGGTGCCCATCCTGGAACCTGGACCCTGCCCTCTTCTATAGAGGTTCCCTGTGGCAGGTGGCCTTTCAGAAGAATGTAGATGAAGTGGACTCTAGCTGGTTCTTCTTTTAAATAAGTCACACATAAGGACCTGCCATGGAGACAGATTGGCAGGGACCAGAGAAGACACCAGGAGAAGGAATGGGGCGGGGCTTGGGCTTGAGGCGGAGCCTTTAGGAGGCAAAGGAGGGGTGGGCGGAATCTGGGACTTGCAGGCGGGACCTGGAGGAAGGGAAAGGAACTCAGATGGACACCTGGCTAGGGACATAGGACAGGACTGAAGTGGGGGAGGGGAGAGGCTGAGCAAAGTATGGGACAAGGAGATGGGCTCTGTAGGGACAAGTTTCATCCCCAGCCGCCCAGTGTCCGTCATCTACCCCTTTGGCTCACGACTTCTGTAGCACAGCACTCCTAGGACTGTGGTCTTAATCCCTTCCAGTACCCTAAAGCGGGCGACCTCGGTCCACGGAGCACTACGGCATGCGTCACTCACCGCGTTCTGCAGCACGTCCCCGCAAGGGACTTCCGGCGCTCGGACGTCCATCCGCACTGGTGTAGCAAGCAGTCTGGGGTCCCGGGTCTTGGGTTGGACCCAGCGTGTGTCGCGCCTCGGGCTGAGCACTGGCAAACCCTGAGAGAGAGCAGATGCAGGTGCGGACCGGACCAGCAGCCGGCCAATCCGGCTTTGCTGCGTGCTTTCATCCTTAGAGGTGACCTGGGAGGAACGCTGTGGGTATTTATTTATTTATTTGTTTGTATATTTATTTGTTGGCTTTTCGAGACAGGGTTTCTCTACACACGCTCTGTAGACCAGGCTGGCCTTGAACTCACAGAGATCCCCCTGCCTTTGCCTCCCGAGTGCTGACATTAAAGGTGTGTGCCACCAACGCCGGCCTCTGTCGGTACTTTTCATTGTACATTTCATGGTAAATTAATGCGACAGGATAGTGACCGCCAATTCAGTCCCTTCTGAACGTACAGGCAATGCATTAAGCACACCCACCCTACTGCCCATCTCCAGAGCTTCTGGACTCACAGTGCCCATCAAACAGCAAGTGGCCCTCCCCTCTTGCTCTTCCGATCCCACACCCTAGCTTTTGTCTAGGTACAAACTTTCATATGATGTGCTGCCTCTTACCCAGCCCCTGGCAGCTGCCAGCGGCCGATGGCATACCACACTGAAAACTGAATCTGTTACTGCAAATCTGTCATTTCTGAAGATCTAAAGATGTCAGCTCCAGGGTTGAGCGTCTTCACGGATGCTCAAGTCAGATTTCACTGTGGGTCTGGAAACAAAATCTCAGGACCCCTTTTCTCTTTAGCTCTGAGTTGTGGTCACCTTGTGGGTAATTTCCTATTTTCTTTACGTGTTTACTCCTAGGACTGAAGGTTGAAAGGATGATCAGATAGTGTTTTTTTAGGCCACCTCAATACTTCTAGAGCCCAGTACAGAGACAGCACATAGATGCCAATGTGCTGCATGTGTGTAAATAGATGGAGCAGTTCAGTGCAGCTGCAGATGGTTCACTGGTTAAGGGCACTTGCTTTCCTGGAGGACTAGGATTTGGTTCCCAGAACCCCAGTTGGCTGCTCAACTATTTGTAACTCCAGTTCTCGGTGATCTACTGCCCTCTCCTGGCCTCCACAGGTATTGCAGGTACATGGTGCGCTTACCAACAACAACAATCCTACACATAAAAGTAAATAAAAATTTAAGATTTAAACAGAACACAGCTTTACAGGCAAAAGCACCCAACGCCATTAGTCACCAGCATGCACAAGGAGCCCCTGCTTCACACCCATGGGGATGCCAGGAAAAATGCAGATCATTGCAGCCCCATTGGAAAACACAGGTAAACAGTTTACACATAACCACATTCCATTCCTAGGTGTGTGTAAGAAACAGCAGCACACACACCCACACAGAATCATGCATACCTTTTATAGCAGTACTCATTCATCACAACAGTCAAAGAGGAAACAGCCTGATGGGCAAACAGATCAGATCAAGTATGTGCACATATAAATACAATCCAACAACCAAAGGAGTGTAATTCTGGTATATATAACAAATGAACTTCAAAAACATCAAAGGAAGAAAGGTCACCTATTAAATGACTCCATTATAAGAAACACCAGTTACTGACTGAGAATGCTACAGTGTGAGGAGGCAGAGAGGGAGAGGCTGCTCCATAAATAAGGGATTACTTCTTTAAAAAAAATTTACTTATTTGTTATATATTCAGTGTTCTGTCTGTATGTATGCCTGCAGGCCAGAAGAGGGCACCACATTACAGATGGTTGTGAGCCACCATGTGGCTGTTGGGAATTGAATTGAACTCAGGTCCTCTGGAAGAACAGTCAGTGCTCTTAACCTCTGAGCCATCTCTCCAGCCCCTGCTTGGATACTCTTATCCAGAGGTCTGTGCTTCTATTAGCAAACCTCTCCTGGAGGAGACAGAGAGTGTGATCAGCAGACGACTAGGAGATCACCGACTGCTGACCTGGGAGACGTCCCAGAGGTCTGGGGGAACCGAGGTTTCTGTCTGGGTGCTGGTGAGGGTACGGTGGTTCTCCTGGATTGGGGAGTTACACACCCTCCCGGCTGTCTGTATTTCTGGAGTGGTTTTGTCTGTCTAGGTGGAGACAGACATCTGTTAGTTTTTGTCTCTGTGTCTTGGGTCTTTTTTGTGACTTTGACGATGGGACCGACTGTAACTACCCCCCTCAGTCTGACTTTTGACTTTTGACCACTGGACAGACGTTAAGGACCATATTCAGTCAGATAAAGTTACGACGCCCCCTTTCGCTGAGTCACGTGGTGCCACACTAGGTAACTTTCTTTCTTCTGTCTTTGTTTCTGTATGGCTTCTGTGAAGTCTGGAGGATTGGAACAGGCTGTGTGATTGGCTAGTTAAGCGGGTTTGTTATCTGATCTGTTGCAATCCACACCCTACCCGCCTGCTTTTCGATGCTGTGTCAGTTTTGTGTTTTCATGTCTACTGTTTTTGTTAATTGTGTAAGCGTCTCTCTCTGTCCTTACTGCCCATGCATGTGGCATGCTTGGGTCAGGGGTCTTTTCTTGCTGCCCTGAGCACATGGCATGCGGGACAGGAGTTCCTCTGCCATGTGCCATGGGTTAGAGTGTGCCTCGGAGGGGTCCCCTGTCACCGAGCACATGGTGAGGCTGCTGTTCTGAACTCCAACCACTGCTGCGGCCCTCACAGCTGAGCCTGGCCGGTGCAGGTGAGTCGATCTCTCCATCCTCAGCTGCCTGTCTGTGAGGCATGCAAAGTGGGGCCCTCTCTGCCCCAACTGCCATCCTGCGGTGGGTCCTGCATGCGGCAGGAGTTTCCCTTCCCTGAGCACATAGCTTGCTTGGCCACCATTTGCCCGGCCTTCTCCGTGCTCCATATGTTAGAACCCCGGAAAACTCAAGTATCCGGGGTCCTGGGCCACATTCACGGTCACCCCAATCACCAGGTGGATTCGAGAGCTTGCTGCAAACTGCATGAGGCTTTATTGTAATTTAACGAGCTAACCCCATGTTAGCTTGGGTCTTTCACCCACCTGCCATGGCGGAT